CACCTGTGATCTCCGCCCCCTCCATGTACTGACCACACTTGGCCCGGAGTTCCCCCAGTTGGTTGCACACGGTCGCCTCTTCCTTCAGGTTGCGGCTCCTCTGAGCCCGACATTTCACCTTCTCCAACTCTGCAACAGAGAGATGACATCACTGGAGGCCACGCCCACCACATCCTACCAGCCAATCACATTCCAGATTTCCAGCCTGAGGGGAAATGACTACATTATGGGGTCCCCCTCCCCCACTGGGTATACATTGTATATTATGGGGTCCCCCTCCCCCACTGGGTATACATTGAATATTATGGGGTCCCGGCCTCTCCCAGGGGTACCCCGAACTCATTTCATTATACGGATCGGTATTCTCTCATACAGATCGTTAATCTCTCCGCACTATACCGATCGGTATGTTTATCTCCCCCGGAATGAGGGAGAAGTTTGATAATAATAGTCCTCCGCTCGCCCCATCCCCCGGGCTCGGTGCGATCACATCGAGTTTACTCACGCCGGATCTCCCGATCGCTCATCGTTCGACTTCTCCGTTCATCTCCCGCGCTGACTTGTATCTGACCCCGCCCTCCATCTATCACCAAAACACCTGATTGGCCGCCTCGAACTCCTGGCCACTTCTTATTGGTTATCTGTACTGTCAGTCATCCCAGAGCCTACATTGTCCTGAATGGGGGATGTCGCGCCTGCGCTTCGCTATCTCCGCCCCTCTACTCAATGGACACGGTGATTGGTGGAATGAACGAGAAGGCGGATCATAGATACGGTAGCTATGACGCCTTGCTCTACTGCGGATCCTGGCGGTCACATGACACGTGGTACGTCTGAGGAACCAATCAGATGAGACCGGGGCGGAGACGATAACACTTGTTAGAGCCTTTATAACAGGTCCAAACCAGAAAAATGGCGGATAGCTCTGCCCACCGTGTGTATACTGTGCGACAGTGACGTCACCAGACAGGAAAAGCAGAAACCACGTGTATGATCTAGAATTACCGACACCGGCAGGTAAATATCCCTTCACCGCTGGCCTGTGTCATCCTCATCCTCCCCTTCTCTGTACTGCTGCCTGCCTCTCCCTGTGTCATCCTCATCCCCTCTCTGTCATCCCCCCCTCTCTCTCATCCTCATCCCTCTCTCTCATCCTCATCCCCCCCTCTCTCTCCGTCATCCCCCT